ATTTAAAGATGAATCATTCAAAATAGCTGCTCACTGAAAAAAACAAAGGTGGGAGATCATAGCAATGGGAGTTTGGGAGGTAATGAGGAATTTTATGAGACAGAAAGTATAGTGATTGAAAATGGATTATATGGCAATTAAATGAGAAGTAACAAAAATTTTGTGGCAAAGAAAATGACATTACTCAAGTAAACACTTGCTAAAATGATTTTTATGATCATAGTAATATGGATTAAGATAAAAGATAATTATCATGATTTCTTTGATTCTCTATGACTTTAAAAATACATTCAAGTGTATAACACTACTGAAGGACAAATAATATTAAGATAATTCATATTCAGATTAATTGCAAACAGATAAATGATTTCACAGTTGACAATTATGTTCTAAAATCTAGAAAAAAGTTGTAATAAAATTTTGAATCCCAAAATGAAACACATATTTCAAAGAAAATATTCTAAAAGGTAAATGAAGATATATTATTGCTTGGCAGAAAGATGATTTTGAAAGAATATTGCTTTGTAATAAGAATTATTTTAGTTACACTTTCATAATGGAAAAATAAATGTTTTCTTAATGTTTTTTACATATTCTACATAATTCCCCAAAACTGCATTACTTGTTTGAATAACTAAATGACTTCACATTTTTAAAATTTGTTTTTGTCATAAAATATTCTAAATATAAATTTTAAAACTAGAATGGATCATTAACCACAATGTTTAATACTTTTTATCTTTTGGTGATATTATTTCATGATTTTCCTGTATTAACAGTATGTAGATTATGAGAAAGCAACTTATTAAGCATAACATGGGGAATATATCATAAAATATATTAGTCACATGCATATTAATTAAAATTTTTACTTAGTGATTCCTAAAATGGGAAACTTAGGTATGCTTTAATTTTATGTAAATACTCACATAGAAAAAAATTTTCAAGTTTTTTTTAAATACAGAAACTATTACAGTATATACACGTTTTGAGTTTGTAATGAATGATTGTGGGCTTATTTTGTACAGTTTTAAATTATGTGGCTTATAAGCCAAATTAAATTTCTCAGTGGGTAAGGAGACAAAATATTGTGTAGGAAGGAATGATATTCCCACATGAAATAATTTCTCAACTTATATTTAAATATGTTACTTTTGACATCATTTGTTTATAATTCATAGAAATGAGTTAATCATTATCTTGGAAAATTTGTAATATTTTACCTACACCAGTATACTTTTACATGCATTGTCTTCCTCTAGAAAACAAAAGTGCAATACCTTTATAATATAATTCTACATAGTATCATAAATTCAAAGAGAACAATTAGATTTTAAACATTGACCTAGAAATTCATAGATGGAGATATACACATGCATACAAATACTCAATGACAACATTGCTTTATATTTTTAAATATACCTTAAATCAAATGTAATATAAGCAACTGTGTTAAATATTTTCTATAAAATATATTGTATTTACTATAAATGATGTAATAAATTTGTCACAAGATATACATGCAACGTGAAAATATATACATATAGACAAACACATGCAACATATATAAAAATGTATGTAAAATGTATAAATATATGTATATATTCTTATTTACAAACAAGTAAATTTCAAGTCAAATTTTAACTTAAGCGCTGGTTAAAACAAAAATTATATAAGGAAAAACCAGTGTATTACATAGATACAAAAGCAAAAATATTATTTAGGAAAAAAAGATATAGGTATATTCAAAGGAAAACATTGTCGTTTTTTTTCTTTTGCCTCAAACATTACAAAGAAAGAATTGTATTTTGCATACCATTGCAACAGCAATTTGAGGTACTGTCAAGAAGTATTTGCTTAGTGACAAGCAATAATACTCTGTTCAAAATTCAAAGAAAGATGTTGCTATATCTTTTTCTCCTTATGTTTTTAGTTTTCTAGTCACATGTTTTCCTGTCTGTATCTTTGGTTGTATCATCTTTTTATCAGAGAATATTATAGGCTTCACTAGAAATTTTTAGGAATAAAGTAGATAACAAAGCCTTTGAAACAATGTATCTATAGTGTGATTTAAAGGCAGAAAAATGTTGACGTCCTCATTTCTTGTGATTTGTGTATAGCTTGGTGATTGCCAAAGGAATGACATTTCTGAATTTTACACGTGGAGAAAATTACCTATATTATTATAAAGTATGACTGATACCAAAATTATTCCTCCCTTTAAAACACTATCTTGCAAATCTAAATATTTTTATTATGTAACTGTTTAGAATTCAGACAAAAATAAAATGTGAACTCATTCATACATGTTTATAATTCACTGCTAAAATAGCATTTCAAATTTGACTTGATATGCCAAAGTAGTGTTTCTGAAAACTACATGTTTTCTTTAATCTTATGATATGCTTTGATAATTTAGGAAGTAATTATGAGTAATTAATGTGACAAATTCAGACAAAAATATTCATGAATTACTAATTGTAGGATATTGTTCAAAGTGAGAACAGTATCCTCTTGATGATTAATATCACTGTCTTCAAAAGATTATGCATTATTTGAAAAAGAAATTGCCTTGTTATAAGCTTTGAAAAATGAGTTTTAGAATACTTTGCTGATTCTGTCTGCTGAATGGTGGTGATACTGGAATACACCTTCTCTGACACTGTGCTTTGTTTTAGCGCCAAACAGTGTTTTAGTCAATTTGGCAAAAGAACCTGAGTTATCAAATCTTTAAATTGTCATAAATAGAAAAGAGATTGTTAGTAAATTTGATGCTTATTACAACCTGAATCTATTATACTGAAATGAAAGTGTGCATGTTGGAAGAAAATGTACAATAAAGGAAGATAATGTACATTAAAATGTACAAGTTCTGTTTCCTCTGTTCACTCATGAGATCCTCAAACAATAAAATACCAGCTATAGAATCTAATGAAAATATGGTATGCAAAGGAATCGATACACTCTTTTGAAGAATGTAACACATTTATTCCTATTGGATTCTTACTCAAAAAGATATGTTAAGTACTGTTACTTAATGTTGTAAACACATGAATATTTAAAGAGTATATATACTAAGATCATGAGTTCCAAAGATAGTATTAATTTATATTTACTTGTAGATTATCACTTATAAAGTAAAAGCAGTAGCATTATGAGAAATTCCTGGGGTGACTGTGGTGTTTTAAAAATGTATGGAAGAAATTAATGCACATCAGTTCTTCTCATTTTAGACGTCTAAAGCAAATTTATTTTTAACAAATAAAAATGTAAAATTCTATGTATTAATGGATTTAATATTATTTTATATGATAAACATATATTGTATAATATTTAAACAAAGTTACATATATTTATCTTCCTCAAACATCATTTCTTTATGGTAAACCTTTCAAAGCATGAATCATTTTAAAACATCTTCAATTTTTGATAATTTAATCAAATTATTTAAAAATTTTCTTATAAAGCAGTACCTTGTAAAGATTCCAAAGTAGAAAAATTAATAAATAAAAAAGGAAGTGGATAACATATCTTAACAATTCTATAAATTAAGAATGTCTTGTGAGTGTGTATGTAAGTATGTTTTTGTGTAAATGTGTTTAAATATCTTACTAGGTGTGGGGCTGGGGATTTAGCTCCGGGGCACAGCGCCTGCCTGGCAAGCATGAGGTCGTGAGTTTGATTCCCGGTACCGGAAAAAGAAAAAAATCTTACTATGTGCATATTTAAAAACTTACTAAAATAGTGGGGTATAAGATGCAGGTATAATTTACATAAATATGTGATATATTCATTAATTATTACATACCTTTAGTAAAGTAGCAAATATATGTAAAGTAGAAGAGGTCAAGAGATCTCTAAATTCTATAGAGCACTTAAAACTTTTGAATAGTATTAGACTTTTAAGTTTTAAATATTTGTCCATTTAAGAAACAAGTATATTGGCTATTACATTGATAACTAGAAATGTTCATATCATGTTGAACATTACAGCAAGCTTCTGTACTTGAGATAATTTAAAATATCTGAAGGGTATATAACAAGTAATGTGACTTCAACATTAATAAAATTTATTACATAAAATTTGCTTGATATTGTAAATGCATTCAAAGTCTAAATATATTGTTAATACAAAAATTATATCTTCCTTAGAGGTATATTAACTCAATAAGTGATGTTTTAGAGCAGAACTATCGCATTACATGCTAAAAATATTTTTGTTGTTGAACATTTCATGCCATTTTATATATTCTTATTAAATACATTTACAAACATTGAAATATTCTATTAAATTTAATAAAATAAAAATTAAATGTATCAAATTGAAATTGATTCACAAAGGTCTTTTATTTTCTTTTCTTAACTAATTATTTGTTTATATTTGATTATTCTTTTAATTATATATAACTGATATAATGCATATGCAAATATCTATCCATTAGATTAGTATGCATTTAAATTCATGATACTCAATATTTTGATTTTACTTCATTATAATTATTACAGAATTCTTAGTTATTTAAAATTTTTGGTTAAGAACTGTGAAAGATAATACAAAGTTTGATAGCAAAAGAAGAAGGCAAAGTGAAAGTAATAATTATGTGTTAATTTTGTTAAATTTGACTGTGAAGAAATACTTAGTGGCATTAAAATATGTCATAATTTGAAAACATTATTCATAATACCTGATATAACAAGTGACAATACATGACAAGTTACAAAATAAAATCCCGGAGAAAGAAAAATGTGCAGTAGCTATCCATTCGTTCAAGATAACAAAATTTAAAATACCTTAAACTGTGAGCAACTTTGCAAGTTTTTTCTCTCAACCAGCATCATAGCAATGAAAATTTTTTTCCACATATTTTTCTTTAAAAAGTTCAACATACACGTCATGATCTCAAATTTGTTTGGAAACATTTTCTTCTAAAGTTCAAAATAGCACCAGTTTTTAAAGTACTTTTTGGGAATATCTAGTCAATGCACTATCACAACCTTACCTTTAAAGCTTCAAATTCCAGGACTTTGAAGGAAGTTGAAATTCAAACTTCTTATGAAATGCATGAGGAATAGCGGGAAAGACCGCACTTAATTGGCTCACTGGCTCCTCAGCAAAATTTCGATATGCCGCGTTGCTCTGAGCTGCAGACATTGTGCTTTTAGTGCCACAACAATGTCAGTGTGTTACTGCTTACTCAATGCTATTTTGGGATCTCTGAGTACAGCCACGAACACTGAGCCTTTTGTGCATATATCATAAAGGCACTCTGATATTCTTCCATAGTCTAGGATGAAAATGCAGACAGCTAAGCTAGTAGTATGAGCTGACTAACCCTTTTTTTTTTTTTTTCTATCTTTTTCCTAATAATCAGCAGCAAAAGAAAATAAAGTATTTATTAGCCTGGGGTGACAAGGAGGGAATTCAACCTCTGTGAAAGAATTCTGAAAGTGGAAAGAAAGTGCAGCCGGCTTGGGGATTAGCTGATGAAACAAATGATCGGTTTAAAGCAGGCACAAAAATTGCTAAAAGGAGAAAAGATTTTGCATTGTTTGTCTAGGCCTTCTGACTGGTTCTTACTCAGTTATTTCCTAAGGATTCAAGGAAAATACATACTGAGAGGGCAGTGTCTAAATGATAATAAATTCTCATTCATCCTGGGTTTATTTGTTAAATAAAGTTGTTTATTATTTTACTCAGACTCACAATTTCATTTTGTTATGAAGCGATATTATTTTTGTTATAAAATACATACTTTTTCTCTGTTCTGTTTACTCTGTGCTGTATTTTTAAGTAAATTTTTTTATTCAAATCAGAGATTATTTAAAAATACTATAAGCATTGCCTTATAGTGAATTCATGCCTATAAAACCATATTCTAGGGCTTAAATACGCAATTATTGTAAGGAGAGAGCTTCCAATTTCAGAAATACACTTAAGCCCTGCAAAATGGGTCTATATGCAGGTCTTTTTCTAAATCACAATAAGGGAAAGTAAGAGAAGGAAGAAATTACAACTTGTAAAAATTATGTTATATTTTGTCATTAGTTCATAATAAGAAAATTTTACAGTTATTATTTGAAAAAAATCAGGTGCCTCTGAACTTGAAACAAAACCAAAGAAAATCAATTTTTCCACTTAATATCTTACAGGAAGTGCTATTTAATGAGCTTATTTATTTATTTACTTATTGTCCCAACATTTTAGGGGCAGATATACTTTATTTAAAGTATGTATATTACTAATATACCCACATTTAATACATGTAGTTTGGTACAAATTTTTGCAGTCACACCGGACCAAAATGATGATAGATAGATGATAGATAGATAAATAGATGATAGACTGCAGTCACATTGGACCAAAATGATGATAGATAGATAGATAGATAGATAGATAGATAGATAGATGATAGATAGATAAAGATATTTGCCAAAAAATGTAAAGAGTAAACACACTGTAGAAAAACTTGTATAAAGTGCACATTCTCTTGATTTAAGACTTTTATGCAGACCTTTATCTATGGGGGACCCCAAAGGATGTTGTATATCACAGAAAATCCACTACACTGCCTTAAAGGAGACATTGAAAATACATGTACAGCAATCTCAATGACCAAAATTACCCAAGCACCAGTTTGCTGTGCTAATAAATGACTCACATTTAATGGCCACCACTTTGAACACCTTTGTAATTGTAGAAGTCAAAGGTAACTTGTTTGAATCTCATGGTATCTCAATAAATTTATTCTCAAAATATTTATAAGTCTTTCTTTTCCTGAAGGCAGATCCTGTCTACAACTATATATATATTTTAATTTTAATTTTAATTCTTGTAACTGACTATATATCAACTCATAGATTATCAGTTGCACTGATAACATAGTATTTAGGTTTGCTATCTTGACACAACCCATATAAAACAAAGGATTTTTGTTTGTTTGTTTTCCTATGAAAAGTTTTTCAGTGCTTTTATGGCCATTTAAGTATTGTCTGGCATGAAAGGATGGATGAGTCTATGTTTCAGGTCCTAGTGGTGGTGATGGGTCTTCTCTATGTGCATATAGCTCCTGACCCATAGTATATAGCCTTTGTCTGACTCTATAAGTTGATGTCAATGTGATATTAACATCTGCTCAACGTGAAGATTCTCCTTCCTCAACCAGGCTCATTTGGATCCATTGTATTGAATTTAGCCAGTTTTAAACAATTTGGGATGGGTCTGGGGGCAATTTTTAATTTATCTTCTCATGATATTGATCTATGCAGTAAACTCTTTAAATTAATTTTCCTTCTCAAATTTGGTAACTATGGTGACAGAACGAATTGGCTGTAAGTCTCATTGTGTTGTCATATTCTGAGATAGCAAGTAATATTTCTGGATTTTAAAGACCTTAAAGATATCTAAAGTGTCCTAATGTTCACACTCCCTTGAGAGTTGGGTAGGGAAAACAGTGATTAGGAGAAAAACTGCAACTGCACTAGAAGTCCTTTTCTTTCTTATTTTTCCCAGGTCTACACCATTCATAGTATTAAGGCGAAAACTAGATCTGATGTCATCATACTCCTCTTTTATAAATACAGTGCTCCTTGCTCCACTCTCCCTCTTAATGTGAAATCCATTATGCAAAAACTTACTAATGTTATTCTTTGCCTCCTTAAAAGTCTGAAAGTAAAATAAACCTAGCAATACTTATGTGACAAGACAAAGTTTCATTTACAAAGCTAAACTCTTACAAATCAAAATCATTGGATTACAAAAGTATTTATTTTGATATGGATTTAAAACACAGTTAATAATTCAATATCTTCTTTGATTTTGTTGCATTCATTTACCTTCTGGAGTAATAAATGCTCCTGATTCAATAGTTGGAAAGGTAACCAATATAAAAACTTATTATCTGAAAATATCTCTCTCATTAACCTATGTAGAGTACAAAATGGTGAGCTTTCTCAGATTCTTCCCAGAACTTTAGAAAATATTAAACTTCTAACACAGAATAAATCATTAGTCTTTATTATGAAATCCTTGCCTTCCTCCTGCTCCACTGAAAACTTTAGTCATGTGCTTTTAACATATATTTTTCTTACCCATTCATCTTTGCTTCTTGACTTATCTTGTTGTTACTGTCTTGAGCATTTATTAAAAATTATCATTACACAGAGCGCTCACAATATATTAACACATATGTTGCAAAACAAGCCAAATTCTATATCTGGCTGCTCTTTCCAGTTACTATTTGCGAGGACAGCGGGTCGTGTGTTGACTTATAGCTGAAATTTGCTCTTTGCTGTCATTTCTCTATGATCTTCTTTGTTTCTGTTTATTCTCAGGAATGTCTATATCTTAATTCATCTCATGCAATATAATATGGTGATCAACACAGTTCCTGAGTAGACATTCATCTACTGCCTCAATGGCTGCAGCTCATCCACTGTGGTTCATCATTTTACCTATGTAGTTAAAAGAGGTTAATGTAGGGGCAAAATTAGTCTACCTTCTTTCCAATAAGGATGAGTTGGTCACTGTCCATTTAACCATATTTTCTTACTTATTTAAGAGTGAAAAAAAGCTTTTTGAGTAGAAAAATGTATGAACTATGACATCACCATCTTATTTTAAGAATATTTTAGCTACCAAGCAGACAACATAAAAACTGTAAAAACTTACAATTTAAACAATGACTTGACCAGTGCAGTAAGGAAATGTGATCCGAACACTGGGAGGTCACTTAAGTTAAAAGGTTATTTGATCCAGTGTTTTCGTACTGCAGTCTGTTAACCAGTGTCTTCTTTCTCTTCCTTTGGTTCTGTTAGGAGTAAGCAACTTTTCCTCAAACATGCCAAGCACTTCCAATTTTGTCTACTTGTCTAAAATTATCATTGTCTTATGTATTAATAAGTGATGCAAACAAAATTATTATAGCTATCATTTTTTTACTTGGGAGTAAGAACTACTTGGTGATTAACATTCATTCTCCAAAATCAGGATGGGGAAGTTGAACTTAGATGGTAACCAACATGGTTCACTGTAGATAGAGATTTAGTATTTTTTAGAATGACCTTTAAACATTTTTCTTTTCTAATAGTCAGGTTTATTGAACGTTCTTTTTCTTCTTTTGGCAATGCGTCACAATATATAAGTACTGGGATGATAAAAAAAATACATCACAAGGAGGAAAGTGTAAATACTAACTGATTCATATACTTAATGGTAAATATTTTTGTCAAACTCAGAAGAAATTGCCTCAGGGTGATAAAAAAGAGTCTCTTGAATATGGTAGCATTTTGTATAGCTTTAGGATATTTATTTTTTACATTCCAGCTACAGTAGCAATTTGTCTAATATAATGAAAATTTGGGGGTCATATATAACCCATTTTTAATTTTTTTCCTTATGTTGCTCCTGTTTTATTTTGGTTTTGTTTTCTTCTGTTAAATGCAGCACTGAGGCTCTGTATATAAGTCATTATTATGTTGTTACTGCAAAATAATTCCCATAGTAGAAGAAATCCTTCATAGTTTTAGGAGATAAGTAAATGTATTAAAAAAATACAAGTCCCCATTCTGCAAATGCAAAATTTTAGTAAGTGGCCATGTACAAACAAACTACTTAAAGCGTGTTTAGTTGTAAACATGTAGAAGTGCCTCACCCTTGACCCATGGCAGTATTCCCTACATTCACTAGGAGTGCTTCTACTCAGACAAAAACCATTCAGAAACTGTAGATGAGTGCTTAACTTATGAATTATAAGGAAAATACAAGACTTTAATTTCTGGAGGAGTTTTCATTTTTTAATAACATTTTTATTTCTTATGAAGTTTAATTTTTATAAATCTCAGAATTTAAAAATAATGTGAGATTGGTATTGAATTGAAATACCATGAAGTGATGTAAAATACCAATCTACATATTTGTCTGTCACCCATCATCTTTCCTTTATACAAGGCATTGTGTGAGGTTTATAATGATATGACAGCAATTAAGACTTTTGCCAACCACTGGTAGTCAATAAATCCTCTAAAGATAAATTTTTATTGAGAAATGAAAAATATTAAGGTTACTATAATAATGTATGGGAATTACTTAGGACGGTTTCTATAATACAACAACTCCTCTATTATTACTGCTACTACTATTTACTAACTGCTACTCCT